CTAATTTTTAAAGTATCAAAATTGAATTTTTGTTCAATAAAAATCTTTCAAATGCGACTGTAGCTTTTTCCTCCCCAAAACTTTGTCTTCAAAATAAGGGTGCGTCTTATACACCAGTGCGTCTTATATTCCAAAAAATACGGCATATCCCTTCCTCATGGCATCATGGATGCTTCTAACTTACCTGAAAATACCTCTGAGGACACAGATAGTGGCCAACTCAAAAGTGGTTTACCAGTATTTGTTCAAAACTTAGTAGCATGCATCGCTTTAACATATTTCAAAAAAGGGTAAATACAATCTCAATGTACTTTTAGGTATTTTAGATTTCTTATCACATGATAAGTTAGGAACAATAGCTGCACAACATAAAACAGTCTTTAAAAGTCCCTTTACTTTGGAATAAATAACAATAAATTTTACCAACATTACAACTTTTCAAACAAAAAAGACTTACTATTAGACTCTGGGTCTTGAGCTCTAGGACATCTACAAGTTCTTCAATGAGTCCATTATAGAGTAAAGATGTTACGTTATCCTGGATGGCATTACAATACACTAGAAAAGTAACAAGTCTCATCCTTAATATCATTCCCAATCACTTTGGGGTGTGTGTTTGGGCACATATTGATGGTAACAGCTAATTTTCATGTTTTTGTGCTAGAATAACTCTCTCAACAGACAGGTCAAATGGTGCATTTTAGTTATTTTCAAAATTTAATTAAAGAACTTTATCATCATTGTATGTCAAAAAAATTGGCATCACACCATAATTTATAATTTAATTCCAAATATGTTTTTTTGTGTGTCATATAGCATGTTTTCTTGTCTTGTTGCTTAGTTTATATCTTATTATGCCTACCATACATCTATAGTAGTTAGCAATTTAGAAACTCAAACTTCAGACATTTATAAGCTAGAATACAAATTAAGAACCTCCCACCTTTGATTTGCTGAGATATTAATAAATGTTACAAACCTACTCACTACTCCATTCTTTTGAAACCTCTCGTCTACTCACGCCTACTTCTCTAAAGTACAAGTTTATAACCAATAGAAAGAGTACTTTCCAAACTACATAAATCTGACAAGTCATTTGTAATTGGCTTGTAGGAGAAACTTGTAAATAAGTAGAAATTTTGAAGAATATTGAGTTAGTCATTGCCCTAAACAGAAATGAGAACTTTTTAAATCCACATATAACTTAGTTAGAAAGCCAGATAAATTACAGTGGTTTTGTGTGTACCAGCATGTTATTTAGATTTTTTTGGTTTTCTAAAATGCATCTTTGAAATCTACAAAAATTACAATAAACTCTGTAGGAAAGCTCTGATTATTGCACTGAACGAGCACAGTTGCTATTAACTCTATCGAATTTGGTGTCACATAAACAGGCTAATGGCAGGAGCAGTAATTCATTGTTTTATGATCGGTAGATTTCTACTTCAACTGCTAACAATAAACACATTTGAAAAATTTGTCAAGGGAAGCAATTTGGAACTTCGTGGTCAATATTTAAGAGGATAAAACAGTATTACTCACTTTATTTTACATTTTCCAACCTTTAATGTTTTATGGTGGTTACAAGGGTGGTCAAATTGACTGACCCCATACAAGGTTAGGGTAAAGAAAATAACAGATATATAATTTTCTGAGAAATAAAAAAGCTTAATACTTATTTGGGAGGTTTCAAAGATTATGCAAAGAAATTTGAAGAAAATGTCTTTTTAATCTTAATCTGAAAATCACTTTGCACTTGAAGCAATCAACACTGACTCCATATATTCAGACATACTTTTAGTAAAAATTTTGAATTTTAAATTACAGAAGAATTGTAATGTTTACTAAAATCTTTAAAAACTTTGTGAAGACACACAAATCACGTTAAAAGTTACATTATGGAAACTCCATTAGTAACTTTGGGGTCACGTGGTCAATGTAATCCACCAATGCAGTGACAAAGGAGATAAAGCAGTACGATTTTATTCTGCCTACTTATTATTACAAATTTGAGTGAAAAAAAAAAAACACACACACACACACACACTTAAAATGGTTTTATAACAACAGGGATAAACTGATTATTATTTTCTTGACATTTCAATCAAACTTGTGATTCAAGATGAAGCTGTTTATACATGTTTTGTCCTTTCATGTTTTCTCTTAACCCTTTCAAGACAATGCACTTTCTAAACTGTGATTGTTACTGAGTTACATTCAAAATTTAATTAAACCACTTTACTATCAATGTATTAGATCATCAAGAAATTAATGTTGCATTCTGGAACACTTTCATTAACCACCACCCCAAAAAACGTACATCACGTATAATAGTTGAATGAATCAACTAAACGTCATGTTAGTGTAGCCTACATAAAGTGTAAAGTTTAGTATGGTGATGGCACACAATGAGACATATTCGGCATGTAACGCTGTTTGAATACAAGAAAGGAAACAATGCCTCTGTAGCCACAAATAATATCAAAGAAGTTTATGGAAATGTTATGAACATTCGTAAGTGTTAACAATGGTTCAGCAAATTTTGTTCAGGTGACTTTAGCCTTATGTACTGTGATGGCAGGGGCCAACATGTTGGAATTGATATTGATGCTCTGAAGATGCATGTTGAGTCTAACCCAAGGCAACACACTTGTGAAATGACCCTGAAATTGCATGTCTTCCATGAAACAATATGTAAACATCTAAGGAATATGGAAAAACTCCACAAAGAATGTGTTTGGGTGCCTTACGAACTCTCTGATGATCAAAGTTTCCAACGTGTGAACGTTGCTTTGTCTCTTCTGGCGCGCAATGCGCATGAACCATTTTTGGACAGAATTGTCACTGGTATGTAAAATGGATTCTCTATTCGTATAGTAAACACCAAAAACAATGACTCAGTCCTAGACAAAAACCACTTCCAACCCCAAAACCTGGACTCCATTCACAGAAAGTGATGCTTTGTATTTGGTGGGACATCTAAGGAGTAATTCATTTCTAACTTCTGGAAGGTGTTAAAGAGGACATCGAAATATTCTTTGCTTCAAACCCAAGTGATTTCTTTAATCAGGGCATTAACAAGATGATTGCAAGATGAAAAAATATCATCAATAAGAATGGAGACTATTTCATTTAATAAATGTTTTATTTTGATAATCAAGTTGTTCCGGTATTTTCGTCTAAAAATAAAAAAGCGACAATTTATTTATGACCTAATATTTTAATAAGATTATTATCATTGAGTATGTTATAACTGACAAGTTTTATATTATCCAAGTCTTTTGTCAAATTCCAAGAACTATGTTGTAAAAGTTCTCCCCACCATAGAAGCCATGCTCACTTTCAAAGTCAGAAAGAACTGTTGCTTAGCAACAATTAGATTTGTATGGCATGCTTGTAACCAATAGAAAAGTAGATTTCACTGTATATTCCCATACATTAGCTATAATACCATATGATGTAACCATTGACCATGATGACATATAACCACAAAGTACACTGTTGGAGATCGTTGTCCCTAGCACTTCGCTATTTTTTCTTGCCTTATATATATTAGTTTAATACAGTTAAATTACATTTAGATTTTACTTTTATATTTTAGTTAATTATGTATTATTTGTGTTTTAAAATTCACATTTGAAAGGTTTAATAATTTTTATAAAATAAGCAAAACTTCACCTTGCTCATCAAGGTTTAAAATTCCAAACAAATGCAAACCATTTGGTCGGAGGCTAAAGCATCTCTGTCGATGATAATGTAATATGTCCTGAGAGCATCCATTAACATGTGTCGACATAAATAATGAACGATAAAGAATATGAAAATAAAATAAAACATGAATAAAATATAAAGATTTTGCATATGACCCAAAGAAAATATTTTAAGTAAGAATATTCAATGAAGACTGAAAAAGTATGTACATATTTCTATTTCAAAATTTTAAATATTTCATTGTACTGTGCAGTGATGATAATACCCAAGAGTTAGTAATATGGTAGAGATAATGGAAAATCTATATACTACTAAAACTCTGAGATTGTTTGTCTGTAATTAAATACAGCAAAAACGGCACATAATAGCACCATATTTGTAATGAAATGAGAATAGAAACAGAATAAAACAAGTTTTGTTAAAAACGTGCCATGGATTACTGAGTTAGCGCCATTTTTCGGGTCACTTTTATGAACATTTCTAGATGAATTTAGGTACACTAGATGGCGCCACATATCGGTTTATCTATATACTACTAATACTCTGAGATTGTTTGCTTGTCTGTAATTAAATACAGCAAAAACGGTGCACAATAGCACCATATTTGTAACAAAATGAGAATAGAAACAGAATAAAACAAGTTTTGTTAAATATTGAAATTCGCTTGAATTCTTCATAACCTCTGAATGGGTCCAACTGTTATTACTATGGTGTATATTAGAGACCGTGTGATAAGAAATAATTTCAGGTCACTTTTATGAAAATTTTTAGCATGAGTAATTTTACATCACAAAATAATTTTGGGTCACTTTTATGAAAATTTCTAGCATGAGTAATTTTACATCACACTACCGTTCGTGCTCTTTACAATACATCTTACTTTACTTTTTTGAAAAATGAAATGGTCTTTCCTTTTATTCCCGATCAACAATCAAATATCTTTTCTTGAATTATGAATAACACGAATGAATTGAAATATTTAACTAAATTATCTCAAAATAAACCTTCATTTCGTTGCAATATTGAAATTAGCTTGAATTCTTCATAATCTCTGAATAGTGGGTGATCCAACGGGTCACGGTGTTCTAGTAAAATATAAACATTTACCTTAAAAAAACACTTTTGATATTCATTTAGAGGGGTTCTAGAGCAAATATAGCCAAACGCTGAGGTCCCTACTCTAGACAATGTACTGAGCTTATTTTCTATTTCATACCATACAAATATGTACCATTGTTAATTTTTCTTGGCCTAGTTAGCTAAACAGCAGAAAATCGGCTCTTTCTGTTTGTTATAAGCATGCAATTTAATTTAAACCAGTCATTTAGCAACGGAGCCTCTACTTTGAAAGTGGGTGTATCTTATCAACTCTGGAATTTTCAATGGTCTTTTCTGCAACTCTAGTTCTAGGAAAGTCGAAATCATGTCGAAAGATCTTCTATGCAATATACTTTGCCCATCTGATGAAAGGCAAGTCTATAGTCTATAGAGATTCTTAATGGTCAAGATATGTGCTGAAGTTTTAATTATTGTTCTAGAGGTTTCTTTTGAAATAAAGGAATAAAAACTTATATAACATAAAACTCATTTCTAATGTACTTAATAATAATAATTTCATTAAAATACATTTTATAGTAAAGTGGTTTAATCAAGTTCTGAATGTAACTCAGTAACATGTGCAGAATGGGGGTTTAAATCATGGCATCTTTGCCATGGAGTTAAAGATATTTTTGACGGTTAATATTTATTATAAAACTTTATTTCCCACCTAATGAATCAGTGACTTATTATAATTATTTTTTTTGCTTTGAGGTTGTACAAGCACATATAAAATACTTTTATAGAAAGAAAATTTATGATAATCTTGAGTATTTTATAAAATAAACTGAATAATCACTGCTAAATAGGTTTTTCTCCAACTATACTTTCCACAAGGAGTTTCTCAGTAAGTACATCAAATATAGTACAATATGTTGGTATGCACACAAGTGTAACTATGGTTTATAAAGCTAGACAATACAGGTGTTCTAGTTCAACCATGTACATTACGTATGGAATGTTACCTGCTGTTAAGAATTCACCTGTGATAAATATACATGCCAAACTTTTTAATTCATTTTAAAAATATGATCTGTTTATCCCAATGCACATTTTCAGAAAATACATCCAAAATAATGGAAATGAAAGCCTTAATTCTTCTTTTCCAATTTCCTGACTTTTTCAATAATTTCAAGACCCATACAAACCCTGAACATACAATAACCTGAGGTAAAATGGGTCCGAGTACCTTAACAACAACAAAAAAATCTTACAATGAATACACAGTATTTTAAAATACACTAAGCGGAATTTAAAGAAGCATAAAACTTAAATTAGAATAAAGGTGAGCTGTATAATACAATTAACTGGTAACTGGCTGCAATACCAATTGGTGCTGATTGCTATGAAAACAAACGAGGCAAGGAACTGAGCTATTATTTTTTACGTCTGTGTTGGTAAAGTACTCAAACTTAAAATTAACTAATAAAATCAAGCACAATTTAAGCAAGAGTAGAAGACTGATGTTACAATTCACACTAATTATGGACTGTATAAAAAAAAATTTTCTAATATTATTCAATTTCTTAAAGAGGCAACATACCAGTAATATTTCTTAAATAATTTCATTTTGATGATGGCTAAAGATCTCCAACAAACGAATTAATGGGAGGAGCTACTTGGGTGTTGACTGCTGAACCATTTTATATTATGTTCTGTGTTTGTGAAGTATTTTGTTTCATGTATTCAATACCCTGTGATGCTTAAATAATAAAAATTGAAACAGAAACATACAAATGAAACATCTACAATTCTACTTCATTAATCAATTCAACACATAAATACTAGTGTGTCTAAATATAAACAAACTGCATCAAATGGATACATAGTTGTAAAATTTTCATGGGGGAGGTGAAGACAAGAATATTCTAGTCGCACACAACACCAAGTTACTGAAGGCTAGCACAGTTAAGTTAATAGGTAATCCATTATGATGGTTTGGTTGGTTAACTGGAAATCAGCAAACTTCAGTAAATCAACAAAACATTTTTTTTCTTCTTTAACAAAATAACCAGTAAGTTCAATTATTATTCTAACTTGAGAACTTTACATTCTAGTAATTTGAGTTGATAAACTCAATTTCACACCCTGAAAGGTTTCTAACATGTTGGGAGGAACTAACAAACTAACACTTTAAAATTCAGTAGTTTAATTAAATATTTACCTAATATTGACAAAGCTTGTAATCTTGCTTGAACACACTGTAACCTTTTGGTATAGTCTGAAAAACTATGTGCAAGCCGAACGTGTGTAAAAAGAAGCATCTGAAAAATAAATTGAAATAATTAATTAGAATAGAAGTACAAATAATCTAAATTGAAAATCCTAAACTAAGTAATAATAACTTTTAAAAGCATAAAACACAAATTAACAAAACATACCTGTTTATTCTGTGGTACAGAGTGTGTGTTTATTAAGTCTTCCATAATCTGAGATGGGTTTTTTCCAAGTATCTGTGTAACGAAAAGAAAACCTTAAAATAAAATTTTAGGGTTGTCTTAATGATGCTGTTATAGTAGTACTTAAAACTGGTTTATTAAGAAGAAAATAATCATCAAGTACCACACAGAAACATGTTTCTTGGTATGCTATAACTGCCAGAAGATAAGAAAAAAACTAAAATATCTGTTTTCGAATAACTTGTTTGTAATACATCTCTATAATAACAATTAAAATGACATATGTATGTTTTTAAAAATAAATTCTAAAATTAATTATAATCAATTGTATGTTGGTTTATTCTTTCTTGAAATAACTTCTTTGTTCACCTAAGTAAAACAAAATTAATGCTTTTGCCACAGGCTCAGTCGAACTGACCGAGTTCATGACCCCAAATTAACCTTTATAGTTTCCATACTATAACTTCTGATATGAGTATCTTCACAAAATTTTGCAAGCTTTCAATAAGCATTAAGTCTTCTGTAGACAAAAAAAAAAGTATTTTCACTAAAAAATGTTCCATGAATATAAAGGGTCAAAGTGTTTACTTGTCATAATTCAAAGTGAATTTCACGTTACGATTAAAAATACTTTTCAGTGGAAAAATCTCAAATTTCATTTGCATGATCTCTAAAATCTTCCAAATAAATTCCAACCTTCTTTTTTTTCAGTAAAACTTTATATTTTGACTGTTATTTTCTCTATCCTAACTCTATACGAGGTTGGTTAATTTGACTGACCTTGTAACCACCAAAATAAATAATAATAATATCGAATTAAAACTACCATTTTTTCTTTGTAGAATAACTTTAAATTGTAATATTTGTTTATCCTAAATAGCTTTAAACTCTAACAGTATATGTCTGTTTATTTTATTGCCATTTGAGTGTGTAACTAATATTCAGCCATAAAATCTGTACATCACTTGGCAAACCCCATTGAATTACATAATGCACAGACTACTTACGAATGTACCTCATGAAAAATTACCATCATTATTATTCTGTATTTCACCTAATCTAACTTTATCTAACCTAAAAAGTTTAAGTTTTGCATTTTAGTTACTCTTATAATAATAACAATAAAGAATACCACAAGAAATAAAGTACTTACCTAGGTCTTTTTTATTTTTTTTGCTGTCGACTATGCTTAACTACTTTTTTTATACTAATGGAACTAATGCACTACATAATTTGTTATTTAATTAAATATTGCAGTAAAGGTTGCAGATTAATAACCCACAAAAAGCAGAAAATGTTCCACAACTACCACAGTGTTTCTAGCTTTCTAACTATGTAACAAGAGCCATTAAAAAAAATTCAGTTAAGCTTGTCGATGTTTGTTTCCCATGGGAATAAAGTTTGAACTGGAAACAAAATAGACAATTCTCTGTAGAGAAAACAATGTAGTAATGTCATTTGATAGATTAAATCCTTGGCTTTCTACTGGTTATCTATATAAATATAACAGTACTGTCTATTGTATGTCCATGTAACTATTTCGCAGAGTGTGGATGGATTTTCAACAAATTGGTATGGAGGTTCATTAGGTCCATGCGGGGGTACATACAAATTTCCAGTTTTACATTTTGCATTTTTTACCGCTACCTCACCCCCTGTGGATGGATCTTCACCAAACTTGGTATGAAGGTTTGTTGGGTTCACGGAGAGATACATACAATTTTTCAGTTTTTCATTTTGTGTTTTGCAGTTTTTATGAGCATTTTTTACAATTACATATAAGGGAATCAACTTTTCATCTCCTAAGATAACCTTTCATTAATTATCCAGGAGACAAGTATGCATCTAGTAAATAACATAGTATTAAATGACAGAGAACTATTGGCAATTTCTGAATGAGATGATGCAACGAGTGGGCTTGGCAAGAGGGTTTAATTTTCTTTATGATCATGTAACCAAATAAGATTGAAAGGTATAAAATTATGCTTTGCCTGAGATAACAATATAATGAGTAATTTACATTAAATTTCATACTTCTTGGAAGGTGGTAAATAAATTAATGAAGAGAGAATACCCTGAGACTAAATGTAACAATTCCCATACTAGAGGAAATCCAGAATTTTTTAAAAATAGTTTTATAAAATTAAGAATTTAAAACCTATATAACATTATAACTGGGATCATTAGCTACAGTTTTATGGCAAGTTTATTTGTATATCATGATAAGAAAGTAGTTTAAGTTTTGAATGTAATTCACTAAAAACTCATGACGTGCAGAAAAAGACCCTGTAGTGAGTGGTAAAGATGTTCAAAAATGTATTTAGTAAAAGCATAAATACAACTAAACATTTTCATAATAGTTTTTTTCAATCCTAACAAAAAAAATTTTTTTTAAAACAAGTTTTTGTTTTCACAACTGAAAATTAAATGTTACAAAATTACATAAAAGTTTGAAACTAACTGCACTCTGTATATTACACTTTTATAAAATCTTAAATCAAGGTTCAATTTTAATGGTCATCTGAGAAGACTAAAAACTTACTAGAACAACAGACTTAAACCTCTGTGTTGCCCAACAGATGACTAGCATCCTGGAACAGACCCTTACTCGAAATAGCATTGCACTCTACTGTATGCTTATCTATGCCCACACTACACATAATGTTGACTCCAATCATCACTCAAAATCATTGCTACATTCCTAAACTACAAACCCCCACAAAAATATCTTTTGGTCCATTTTTATTTTATTTAAAAAATATTGTACTTTGTACAAGAGAAATGTTGGTACAATCCACCAAAAGGGGCTGTAAGTGTTAGGAAGAGTTCCCTTTTGTGATTGACTAATAATGCTGTTTTAGTGACTAAACTTTCTATCATGGACAAGCTGCAAGTACATTTTGTATGGAGTACAACTGAGCATGAATGTCTGTGTGTGATAACACAGTACAGTATATACAGCTCAGTTAGTTATAATACCACACATTTTTTTCTTTTTATGCAAGTTAAAGCTTTTACAGTGAATAAGAAGTATTTTTAAAATAGGCACGATCTTTCGATCACTGATGCAATCATTTTCAAGTACACAAGTTTTAGCAGTAAAAAACATTAAATATTTAAGCTAACACTCAACCAATGTAAAAAAATTTTAACACACACTTAATCAATAAGGAGACTAAAAATAAAACAATTACCACACATTGCACAATGGGCAAGTGAGAATTCACAACGAAAACAAATGCCACTAACACGAACCTCCTTTAGTGAGATTTAATTAATAATATAGATGCTTACGACATTAACTGTCATGGCTGTCTCAACTTCTTACCAACTACGAGTATGAACAACAATACATATCAGCGGTGTGTGTGTGTGTGTGTAGATGTGCAGCACTCAGGCATTGTGTACATATTACAGTATAGTAGTATGTGAGAGAGTTCTGATGCAAGTCTAGTCTTATTACAGGCTGTACATTAGCATGGTTTGGGCATATTTTTCCCAATGTAACAAAATTTCCCGAGAAATAAGGCATCAAAAATTAGTTGAATAAAGATGCAAAATTGCCAACTTTGCATCTTTTGGAAATAAACAAGTAATATAAACATCAAAGTTCTGTAACTGGATCTTTGTACATCAATATTGTTGTACTTTGATCTTTTTTGAAGGTCTATTGTTTTTTTTTTTTTGACAACCGATACAGCCTCCAGGACAACCTTTGATACAGGTCAGGTTGTCCAAAAGACAACCTGGAATTTTCCTTAAAATCAAGCCCTGTAAGTATACCTAGTGACCAGAAAAAAGAAAATACATGTATAAACAACAGCTACAATTAGATTCAGATACAACACATACTTAGTCAAGACTGATGTACTCTACATACCTGATCCACACGATCAATATGAATAAAACAAACATTATTAGGCTGATGTTTCTTCCCTATTCTATCTTCTGACACTTCAGTATAAAACTCAAAATGAAGAGTTGTGGCACTAGCTGGATAACTCTAACAAAAAATAAATAAATAAAACTTTATAATTAATATGGATACTTCTGTAACTGGTCTACTTTTTATAATGTCACATCTTAAACTTTTAGCTTACATAAAATACTTTAATATCATAACTGAAGTGAAGTAGAAATGGATAAAGTATGTTTTTCACAAACTTTACAAAAAAATTACAGCAGAAGTTGATCACCTTTTAATCTAGCAACAAATCAACAAGCTATTAATGTTTGCATCACTTTGTTCTGATTTCTCTGCAAATTCCTGCTGAAATGAGTTTTTTTTGTTTGGCTTTTACATTTGAAAAGAATAGAAAAAAAAAGAGAGCTATCATGACATGTTTAGATCAGAGCCTATGACTTCTCAAAGCTGAGATGTATGCAATTATATAAAGCCATGACAACTGAGAGTGTGAAACAGTGATTGGCAGAAACTGAGAAGACTACATATTATTCAAGTTACATGATTAAATTAGCAATATTTTGTTCAAAACTATTATGATTTTCCACAGAGAAGGGAATAAGTACCATATTATGATGAGAAAGCAAATTCACAAAACTAATCATTTTGCTGGGACCTTGCTAAATCAGCTCAAGTTGGTGTATTTTTTATATTGTTATGTATAAAATTAAATATTTTTATAGACAAAATTTTGAATTAAGTATTTTTTTTTAATTAATTCAATTAAATTTTTATCTGTGATGCTAACGACAGTGATCCTTCAATTAACCCTGGAGAATTAATGTTCACTATAATTCCAAATTTACTATGTGTATTTAAGAAATTTGGTAAGCTTTTAGTAATCATTACAATAATGTTATATGTGTGTTCTTTTATATATATATATATATATATATATATATATATATATACTACTACACACACACACACACACTACTA